CATAGTACAGTGGCATAATGTGCACCTCTGCCTACCCCAACACCTACAGTAAAACTTTGCCGGACCTGGGAATCGAACCTGAGACCCCTTGCCCGGCAGTCGCACTTGCGACCACTCGGCCAACGAGGCAGTACAGTGGCATTAAGTGCCGTAATATGCACCTCTGCTTACCCCTTCGGAGATAAAAAGGCGTGATGTTATGTCATAATTAACTTACTTGTCCAATCCAGTAACGTAAGCTATCAGAATACAAGCGTTGGCGACGACGTCCACTGAAATGGCGTCAGCTTTGAATGAAGGTTCACAGTGCATCGTTCGAATCACACCTGGCAATATGAACAAAAAATATATTACATATAGAAGACATATAGACAATCACAAGCGAGGTTCCGTGTAGGAGATTCGTGCTTTGTTCAGGTTGCTTACTCTTGAAGCCAATTTCAATGTCAATGCAATTTCAATCCAATAAAATCTCAATAATCATTCAATATCAAAACTATATAACCCCTATCGTAGCTGTTACAATAGCACTCAGAGTACGGAATATAAAGCCAAACTCAATACCATTTAGTTCATTCAATATCCACTCAATACGGATGCAATGGGCGCTAGTGTTGCAACTCAAGAGTACGAAATTTCACAATACCAATGTCGATCGATCGGAATTGGATTCAAGAGTAAGTAAGTGTATGTAGTAAGAGTATTAATGGTTCGGCTCGACCGGATTTTTTTTTTTTAAGGGGGGAAAGTCATCGAATGACTGCTCCCGTCTGGGTGAGGCGGGAGGGAGTGTCAGACTCTTACTGACTAAAAACCACCCCGTTCCTTCTCCTGCACGTCGAGCCGGAGCCCCGGTTACCCGTTAGGTTCTCCGCGACTCCGAAGGCTCGACCGGATACCACAGCCTCACTGTACACCGGCGTGGAATAACTACAGCGATATATTTTTTTCTTACACTATTTCGATCTGTTATAGTTATTAAGCCATAATCAGATATTATGTCTTTTATTTAATGTTTCAGGAGGTATTCCATTAAATACTCTTCCACCATCCCCAGAAAATTGTATTTAAACCAAAAAACCGGGTTTAAAAAAAATTAAAAAAGAATCTCAGTAGTAAGTAGCACGGAGTCTGGAATTATGACCGGTATTAGGTTCACCCCCTATTACATGGGACTCATAACATAAATAGTGAAAGTGGGTGTTATATTGTACAGTGGCATAATGTGCACCTCTGCCTACCCCTTGGGGGTAAAAGGCGTGATGTTATGTTATGTTATGTTATGTCATCCCCAGAATTTTGCTGTTGCTGAATTTGCTATCGTTTCAACCTTGTGATATCCCTGTTATTATCAACCAAGTCCCTGGCGAGCTGGTTGGTATGGTTCAGGAGTCTTCCTTTGTACTTACATAGTTGAATATTCATTAACTTCCTCCTTACACTTTCTCATTAACCACAGCGATGTGTGCGTCGTTTGAATGAGGTTACGAGAAGTCCAATGCCATACCTCAATCTCGCAATTCCTAAATCCCTAATCCCTGAAAAGGCCGACAACGCTCTTGTAACTCCTCTTGTGTTATGGGTGTCTATAGGCGTCGTTGATTGCTTACCATCAGGTGATCCGACTACTCGTATACTGTCCTATGCCATAAAAAAACGAGATAAAAACAATAAAGGTGTAATGTTACCTTTGCCACTGCCGATCACGATGCCCGTTGGTCCATTCAGGTTGTCCACCCATCCAGGGATAGGTTCTTTCCAGGCAGCAGTTACTGTGAACAAGCGTATTGAAAACTAGTGTCATAATAGCTACTAAATCTGGAAGCCTTGTGGTGACTGCAGTCGCATACTTGTCACCACCGCTACTCTTCCCGCGGGTGTCGTATACCCGAGTAAAGGACTACCTAATTGACGGAGACCGGACAGCAGCGCTTTCTGTTAAACCTGGACCTTTTATACTACAATCTCCAACCTGTTTGCCAAGCGTGGTGATTCTAGAAGGGACTACATATTTGACAGAGACTGGGCAGTAGCGCTCTCTGATAAACCTTAACTTTTTATACTGCGATCTCCGCTCCACCTACCAAACGTGGAGCAACTTCAAATTATGCTATCAAGTAGAGGAGGCCAAAGTCCATCTGCGGAGTTTTCTTTTTCAATCTCATTGGCTGGATTTTGTTTTTCTTCTTACACAATTGAACCAACAAAACTATGTAACTAGAGAACCTGATTGAAAAAGAGTAACCTATGGAGTTTCTTGCTCGTTCTACTACATAGGAATCTACACCTGAGAATGAGCAAATAGCTTGACTTTCAATTTTTTTGTTGACGTTCAATAGTGCCTTTCTGAAATAATTGATTTTGATTTTGACTTTAGACTGTGACAGTGCACCGCTGGACTATGGTGGACTATGTGATACTGATGATGATGAGGAATTTCGCTACATACCAATGGAAGGTCTGGCGATGGCAATCGGGAATTTTCCAGAATATTCGTTAACCAAATCTTCTGTGATCGCCTTTGTGTAAGAATACGTGTTGGGCTCGGAAGAAATTATCCTGGAATGTAAAGGAAAACCTTTTAGGAATCTGTCCCGTTAACTGTGCTGGGATTTTTCAAATGTGTGTCGGTTCGACTGGAGTGATACCACGGCCACACGGAAAACAGATGTTGAACAACGCTTGCGATGTATTTCGTCGTGTGAGTGAGGCTCCGGAGCCACCCCCCCCCCCCCCCCCCTCCCCCGAAGCCCGCGGACGACTCCCCCCCCCCGCCCTTCCCCAATCTCCTCAATCTCTGAATCCCCAATAATCCTCAAATTCCTAATCCCCAAAAGGCCGCTATCGCACTTGAAACGCCTCTGGCATTCCATGTCCATGGGCGACGCCGATTACTTATCATCAGGTGATCAGTCTGTAGTATTTACGTGAAGCTTTGTTCCAATATCTAACTCCTCTGGTGTTGCAGGTGTCCATGGACACCGTCGATTGCTTACCATCAAGTTATTTTTGGTTGATTCTCATCCTATCTTACAAAAAATGTGCTTACTTAGGTTCCAAATAGGCCAGTGTGTCATCGTCCATCCATTCCACGATGTCCATGATCTTCCGTGGCTTGTGGACTGCAGAGTAGACCTTCTCCTCAAGAACATCTAAATCGCAACGGCAGTAAGCTGTTGATAGATGAACAAACACCTGGAAAGACAGTAGACGAGTCAATTAAGTGAAGATATAAGACATCATCGTGTCGTGGTGGCCAGGTTAAGGCACCTGCTTCTCATGTGCGGCTTTGAAACCTACCAACGGCAAGAACCAATGTGACATTTTCCGATTTACATGTAGATACTTTCTAAGATTATTTAGACACCACTGACAAACGGTGAAGAAAAACATAGTAAGGAAACCTCTAACTATAAGTTTGAAATCACCAACCCGCATTGAAAAAGCGTGGTGATTAATGCTCAAACCTTCTCCCGTCTCCGTATGCAGTGGACACTTATAGGCTGTTGATGATGATAAGACATTACCATTATAACCATCAATTAGCCTCAAGACGTCTGACGATGCAGTCAAGAATGAAAAGAGATGAATAGATTGCACGAGGGATGAATAATGACGTCTAATGCTGGAGACTGAAAGAAAATGGCACATTATACTGACCATGAGAAATTTAGGTCAAAGGTAGGTAGACCAAATAAAATTAGGAATAGATGGTGTCAGGCATGATACGAAAGAAGTTGATATGATGATGCTTGTTAGACGAGATTGGAAGAAAACATTGCAAGCAGTACTTTGGGATACTGACCTCTAAATTCTGCATAGATTCAGCAAGGGTCAACATTCTGAGAGTACCAGAAGTGTTCATGTTGACTGCATCTTTCAGTTTCTGATCAAATCTGAAAGGAAATATACAAAATATTGAATATGCGGTGTTCCATCAGATGTATGAATGTGATGGAAGGTAAAGAAGTATGTAAGGAGCGTAGTAGGTGGCGTTTTGTAGTTTCTGTATACCATCAGATGTATGAATGTGATGGAAACTAAAGAAGTATGTAAGGGGCGTAGTAGGTGGCGCTCTGTAGTTTCTGTATACCATCAGATGTATGAATGTGATGGAAGCTAAAGAAGTATGTAAGGAGCGTAGTAGGTGGCGCTCTGTAGTTTCTGTATACCATCAGATGTATGAATGTGATGGAAGCTAAAGAAGTATGTAAGGAGCGTAGTAGGTGGCGCTCTGTAGTTTCTGTATACCATCAGATGTATGAATGTGATGGAAGCTAAAGAAGTATGTAAGGAGCGTAGTAGGTGGCGCTCTGTAGTTTCTGTATACCATCAGATGTATAAATGTGATGGAAGCTAAAGAAGTATGTAAGGAGCGTAGTAGGTGGCGCTCTGTAGTTTCTGTATACCATCAGATGTATGAATGTGATGGAAGCTAAAGAAGTATGTAAGGAGCGTAGTAGGTGGCGCTCTGTAGTTTCTGTATACCATCAGATGTATGAATGTGATGGAAGCTAAAGAAGTATGTAAGGAGCGTAGTAGGTGGCGCTCTGTAGTTTCTGTATACCATCAGATGTATGAATGTGATGGAAGCTAAAGAAGTATGTAAGGAGCGTAGTAGGTGACGCTCTGTAGTTTCTGTATACCATCAGATGTATGAATGTGATGGAAGCTAAAGAAGTATGTAAGGAGCGTAGTAGGTGGCGCTCTGTAGTTTCTGTATACCATCAGATGTATGAATGTGATGGAAGCTAAAGAAGTATGTAAGGAGCGTAGTAGGTGGCGCTCTGTAGTTTCTGTAAAAGTAAATCTTACCGCACACAAGCAGCACTATGGAATATTATATTACACTCCTTCTGCAGCAGTTTTACATCATCTTCTGATATACCAAGTCCAGGCTCTGTAATGTCTCCATTTATAATCCTGAGCTTCTTGAAACCGCTTGGATTCTTCTCTCTCACCATTTCAAAAACCTAAAAATAATAGAACAGAAGCTAGGAAAAAGTAGGCCATTGTAGTGCAGATGTCCAGTCAACAAGGATGTAGCGAGGTTGACTGTCCAGGCGACACTTGTACTTAGGTATCGTCATGAGTTAATGTTCTCATGTAAACAGCAGCTCATGTAGTGTAGATGTCCAGTCAACAAGGATGTGATGTCCAGTCGACTTACCGGTTTGCTGTAAAGATCTTTGAGTCTCTCTTCAGCACTGACGCCCTTCTTCTGTCTCATCAGTAAGTAGATAGCATTAACTTCTGAGCAGTTCCTAAGTAGTTTTTCCAGCAGAGCCTGTAATGCAAAGCATTTATTTTATAAGCTACCTCTCGCTTCGTGGTTCATGATTATGCGGTCTACGATGGACCACGGCTACATAAGCATTGGGCCTTGAAGACACCCAGGTTATACCATTCAGAAAATGCAGACTGGCAAGGACTTTTACTGCTTAGTATCATCACCCATTTAATTGTTGTTTATAGGTAGACTGCTGACGATGATGATTATGATGATGTACACCTTGACACAGTTTTTATTCTGGTCATCGAACTGTTTTAGAAAACGGAATTGCACTTTTAACCTCTCAATCGTGGTGGTCAAACAAAACTCATCGATAAATACTCATGACATGATTCAGTCATCCGTGACACAATAATCGAACCCGTACACAGACAGTAATTTAACTAACAACTCTGTATTTTAACTTTCACCATTTGCCTTAGCATGTTAAGTAAATAATAGCTAAATTGGTATCGGAAACCTTAATAGCACTTTGGCCGACTTTGGAAGTCTGTACAAGCTAATATCACACGGCTTTCAAACGAAGTAACTCTTTAGCATTGTAGTATAGAAAATTTTGCCTCACCTTGCCCACGAACCCTGTACCTCCGGTAATAAAAATGTTCTTGCCCCGGTAGTACTCCAGTACATTTGGCGCCATCGTTACACCTGGAACAAAAATATCATGGTAATCACACTTATTTTATCAAATAAGACTGCCGAGTGGCCCAGCGGTCGCAAGTGCGACGGCCGTGCAAGGTCAGGCAAAGTATTACTGGGTTTAAAAAAAAATCCCAGTAGTAGCACTGAGTTTGGCATTGTGCGTATGGCAACAGGCTGGGTACTTACTGTGCCCAGCTTACACTGAGTTGGCGAGCCCTTTCGTCATGGACATGCTGCCACCCTGTCTCTTTTATTTTGTTTTTTTTTATATGTTTTTTTTTGGCTTTATTGTTGTTTTTTTATTTTGTTATTTTATGTTTTTTATATTGTTTTCTCTTTATTGTTTGTTTTTCAATGTTTATGTTGTTTGTTAATTTTCGGTGGTCCATGTCTGGTGGCGAATAAATTATTTTTCTTTCTTTCTTCTTTCTTTCTTTATCACCCCCTATTACAAGGGATTTGTAACATACATAGTGAAAAGTGGGTGTTACATTGTACAGTGGCTTCAAGTGCCGTAATGTACACCTATGCTTTCGGGGCTAAATAGCGTTTTTTTTTAAAACCCAGTAATACTTTGCTCGACCTGTAAATAGAACCCGAGACCCCTTGCAAGACAGTCGCATTTGTGACCACTCGGCCAAGGAGGCAGTTACTGTTATACAATTACAATTTAATTGCGTAAACTGCTGTGGTTATTCAAGTTATAACTGGAGTGTTAATGCAGTTGTTTGGTGATAATTAATAGGGTAGTATCCTATATTTTATTTTAATGTCCGTCTGGTAGATTATTTTAAAACATTAGACACGTATTTTTTCTTTTCTCTCACAATTAAATACTTCCGACGATATATTGATTTGAAATGTCGCGTGACGTCACTTCTATGTACATTTTATACGTAGAAATAACGTTTTAGCCCCCACTCCTAAACTTTGATTCGTTTTATCTAAGTATTGTTTATTATACCACAAAATAAAAAATACGTGTCTAATATTTTTTCATTACCTAACTTACAGACTAATTAGATTTTTAATTTTCATACACTGTCATCATCCAAATTATTGTGAAATAAGCTAAATGATAGTCATTTAAAACACATCATTACGCCTTTTTATCATTGAAAGGGGAAAATAATGGAGAATGTGGATGTGATGTAAAATTAAGAAAGTACCTACGCATAATTGTAGCTCCAATCACTAATAATGACCTTTCAATATGTTTATAATCATCTCTAAATCACTACAAACAAAACAAAGTCGCTATCCGCCGTCTGTCCGTCCCTATGTATGCTTAGATCTTTTAAACTACGCAACCGATTTTGATGCGGTTTCTTTTAATAGATAGAGTGATTCTTAAGAAAGGTTTATATGTATAATATATGCATATTGCACCCGGGCGAAGCTGGGGCGGGTCACTAGTACATTATAAATGACGTCACAGTACAATGTAAATATTGCAAGTCATAAAACTGTAGACGCATATTATTTGGCCAGTTTTGTTTTTTGGCCGAGTGGTCGCAAGTGCGACTGTCTTTCAAGGGGTCTCGGGTTCGATTTACCGGGTCGGGCAAAGTATTACAGGGTGGATTAAAAAAATCTTAGTTGTAGTATAGAGTCTGGGATTGTGCGCGGTATATGGCAATAGGCTCACCCCCTATTACATGGGACTCATAACATAAATAGTGAAAAGTGGGTGTTACATTGTACAGTGGCATTGAGTGCCGTAGTGTTTTTTTTATGGCATAAGCCGGTAAACGAGCAGACGGATCACCTGATGGTAAGCAATCGGTGTCGCCCATGGACACCTGGAACACCAGAGGCGTTACAAGTGCATTACCGGCCTTTTGGGGATTAAGAGTTTGAGGATCGTTAGGGATTCAGGAATTGGGGAGATTGGGGAAGGGGAGGGTAATTGGGCCTCCGGTTACCTCACTCACACGACGAAACACAACGTAAGCGTTGCTTCAAGTCGGTTTTCTGTGAGGCCGTGGTATCACTCCGGTCGAACCGGTCCATGCGATTGTATGGTATATTATGTTATGGGATAAAACTAAGTACCAACGCAGGTCTATTCATAACACCAAGGGTATAGTTGTTACATATTTATAAAATGTTAAAACTCTCCAACTTTCACCTAGTCTTCGCCAGCTATGTGGTAACTCCCATGCAATTGATTGCTAAATAGGGACCTACAATCGCAATTATGGTGACCCATTGCCCAATAATGTTGACACAGTATTTTGGAGATTCACTATGTTGGTTCAAGATCCTATGTAACATTCATATACCTATTTGTAATAATTTTATACAACAGTTGGGTGTTGATGTAAAGAGTAAATAGTCAAGAGTTGCATAACATTGAATAGTAGCTGTGGCCCACGACTTCGGCCGCGAGAATATGAATTTTAGAACGTAACTTATTTGTTTTGTCTCTAAAACGCAAATGGAAGTGGGCGGGACATGTGTAGCGCGACTTCAAGACCAGAGATGGACGAGGAGAGTAACGTCATGGACCGGTCCCCTGGGTAAGCGCTGCAGAGGAAGGCCGCTCACAAGATGGCAGGATGAGATTGTTAGGACGGCTGACCATAATTGGATACAGAAAGCCCTGAATAGGGAGCAATGGAAATCGTTGGAGGAGACCTTCACCCGGGGAGGGGTTCTGGAAAACAAACCAACTACTGAACAAAACATTTAAAACTTCAAATAGTTACATTTAAAATCAATCAAACAATAAATAATATAGGTGAAGTTTAGTAACAAAAAACAATTGTTATTTAGGCTTTCTTTTTTTCCACGAAATATAAGGCTTTTTTTATGAATTTTCCAAAATAAGAGTAGCCTATGTTACTATTTAGTACATCAGCTACCTGCCAATGAAAGTCTTGCAAAATTGGTCCAGCCATACCAGAGACTAGCCAGTACAGACAGACAGACAGACAAAATTGTTAAAAATGTTTTTACGGTATGTGTAATGTGTATCGTATGTATTTGTCGGAGAGCCATGCTTCAGCACGAATGGGCCGGCTCGACCGGAGTTATACCACGGCTTCACATAAAACCGACGTGAAACAACGCTTGCGTTGTGTTTGTTCGTATGAGTGAGGTTACCGCAGACCCACTTACCCAAATCCCCAGTCTTCCCAAACCCCGAATCCCCCACAATCCTCAAATTCCCAATTCCCAAAAGGCCGGTAATACACTTGTAACGCCTTGGTGTGCCAGGTGTCCATGGGCGGCAACAATTGCTTACTATCAGGTGATCCGTCTGCTCGTTTACCGGCTTATGCCATAAAAAATGTATTTATATTCATATGCATGAAGTAAAAAGCTGTTATTTTAATATTATAAACAGACACTACAATTTTATTTATCTGTATAGATAGAATGTACTTCTCTATTTTTTTAGGTTACGCTGTCTTCGTTGCGATTATCACATAGTAATTATAACTATCGTTTGACTGCGTGTTAGTTTTAACAGCTCGGCTGGCGCGGTAACCTAGTTCATGAATACGTTACATGAGCTCGGTTTTTTAGACGGTTTTGTTAAAAGAAACCATTATGAATTCAGTGTTAAATATACTGAAAAACTAAACAAAGGTAGACCATGATATATTGGTCATTAAACTGTCAAACACCAAGCGGTCACCGGTGACCGCAACCTATTGTTCTATAATTGTGTCTACAAAACCGGTACTCGACGAGTTAAACAACGGCTGAGGGGACGAACTTTGTTTTTTTTTTATGACGGGGGAATACCTTTGGAAGTCGCCTAGCTTTTTGGGGAAGAAGACTAGGGAGTGTGGGATTCGTACATCATTAAAACCTCCCCGGTGGCCACCCTCAGCACCTGTCTTCTAAAGAGACCTGCTCCGGAGCCCCCAAAGGCTGGCGACCTATTAAACCAGGGTTCTATTGAACCACATGTCCCAAAAATAAAATTGCGTAATCTAAAAAATGCAGTACTGTGTCCTTAAAATTGTAAAATTGAATGGACTGTAGGTAATGATCAGATGCGAAGCATGGGAGAGCCATGCTTCAGCACGAACGGGCCGGCTCGACCGGAGTGATACCACGGCCGAGCAGGAAACCGACGTGAAGCAACGCTTGCGTTATGTTTCTTCGTGTGAAGGAGGATACTGTAGGCACAATTAGCCCCCCCCCCTCCCTTCCCCAATCTCCCCAATCCCTGGAATTTCAACAATTCTTTAATTCCTAATTCCCAAAAGGCCGGTAACGCATTTGTAACGCCTCTGGTGTTCCAGGTGGCCATGGGCGACGCCGATTGCTTACCATCAGGTGACCCGTCTGCTCGTTTATCGGCTTATACCATAAAAAAAGGACTAGCTGGACAACTGCCTGCCGCGTAACACGTAACGAGTTCGATTCCCGAACAAAGCAACCCACAAATTTTTGTTGCGGGTCTATAATATGACTGCACGGTTGGTGCGGTGGCTGGGCAACCGGCTGCCGTGCAACGTGTCGCGGGTTCGATTCCCGCACGAAACAACACTTTGTGTGATCCACAAATTGTTGTTTCGGGTCTGGGTGTCATGTGTATGTGAACTTGTATGTTTGTAAACGCACCCACGACACAGGAGATAAACCTAGGGTGGGGCAAAGTTTTATATTAAAAAAAAAAAATATGTGACATTGTGTTTGTGGAGGTGATATCAGACGATTCATTTCTAGCTTTCATATCTTACACTCAAAATGATACATCTGAACTCAAAATCACTACATAGTATGAAACAAAGTCGCTATCCGCCGTCTGTCTGTCCCTATGTATGCTTAGATCTTTAAAACTACGCAACGGATTTTGATGCGGTTTTTTTAATACATAGAGGGATTCATAAGGAAGGTTTATATGTGTAATACATGTATATTGCACCCGTGCGAAGCCGGGGCGGGTCGCTAGTAAATAATATTATGATATAAAGTAAAATAAATAAATTACCCAACCATATCGCTCAACGCAAAAATCGAACTCAAGATCGCTCAACCATATC